GAGAGAGTCAGTAAACACTGGACAGGCTTTATAGGGACGTTTATAGGATCTGCCATCCTGAGGGATCAATGACACTCCAGGCCAGCACCAACGGTCAGATTGATGATCGAGGGGAGAGGTAGGCAAACACCATCAGAGAGGGAGGGTAAACACTGATCTAATGATCGTCATTCCGGTACTGTCAGTCTCCAAGATTATCATTATCAGAGTGCTGTACACAAGGTCAATATTAGCAGGCACCAGGAAGGAGGCTATCCAGTCTGTTGATAGTAACACCAACACTTAGTCTCTAAATCAGGGACAGGGAGTTGTACACAGAATACATCTAGTATATGTCGATAGTGATAGTAACAATGGTAGCACTAACAATCTCAGTCTCTAAATCAGGGGCAGGGAGTTGTACACAGAATACATCTAGTATATGTCCATAGCGATAGTAAAAATAGTAGCACTAACAATCTCAGTCTCTAAATCAGGGGCAGGGAGATGTACACAGAAAGCTGTATAGTATATATGTCCATATTGATAGTAACAATGGTAGCACTAACAATCTCAGTCTCTAAATTAGGGGCAGGGAGATGTACACAGAAAGCTGTGTAGTATATATGTCCATATTGATAGTAACAATAGTAGCACTAACAATCTCAGTCTCTAAATCAGGGGCAGGGAGATGTACACAGAAAGCTGTGTAGTATATCTATCTATCTATACTCCACTAGAGACCAATAGTAGTGCCAACCTTTTCAATCTCTTAATTATAGAAATGCCAACATTCACAGTCTCTTAATCAAGGGCAGAGATTTGTACACAGAACGCTATCTAGTAGATGTCCATAGCGATAGTAACGAAAGTAACACCAACACTCTCAGTATCCAAGGAGTAGTAAGCCCAATACCAAACAAATCTCAGAAAGTTTTATTATGGGAAAAATTGCATGTGGAAGGCTGCCCAGTTTATGTTCATATTATAAGTAACAAAACTATGGTACCATTATCCGATATTGCCACTGAAGTGATATAACCCTGCATGGCAACGCCATGCCATCATTCTGTGAAGGTTTCATCATCAGAAATTTGTATTCAAAGGCTGCCCAGTCTGACCATTGTGGCAGTATACCATAACCCCAACACTTTTGGTCTCCAAGGGGCAGATAATCTTACACAGAAGGCTGCCCACTATATTGATGGTGTTGCTAGGCATTTGTTGACCATCAACATGGAGCCAGCTGGTCACTGGAGAGCTATAACACATCCAGGAGCCTCTGGACGTTGACCAGCCATGGTCATCAGAGCTCTGGACGTTGACCAGCCATGGTCATCAGAGCTAGGATCTATACCAATAACATCCATTGTGGAGCTAGTGGTTAGGAACTCTGCTGACATCTTGGTCAATATCGATGGCATAAAGAGTTGTTGTCAGGCTGAATTGCTACTGATGACCAAAGCTCTCTATTCAAATATTTATTCAATCTGGTCTAATTTTATAGTATAATTGTTGATGGGGGACATTTGTCCTTTTGGGCCATTACAAATATCGCCTCACTGATCTGATCCATTGGTCACAACTACAGCCGTGACGAGGACAAATGAGTTCACATTATAGCCGGAGCTTTTTTTTACTCCATTGTGTGACTGTTCAGAACTGTACTGTATTTTTGGCTGCAGGGTATGATCTTTATTGATTGTTGGAGAGTGATTGTAGCCCCAGTTACATTGCTTTGTTTCCGGGGCGATCAGGCTGTCACTGTTCTTCCTTACAATTGCCTCAAGGCTATTTTAGCCGCTCACTCAGTGGAAACGGAAAAATATTTTTCTCTTGATCAGGCATTAAATCCTATAATGATAGTGAAAAAAACATTTGTACAGTGGCTAGTTTTACTTACCAGGCTCTCCAGGTCAACCTTGAATGACCTTGAAATAAAATGAGCTTAAGGCCCTCTTTCTTTCCAGTTTGACTATCACCGTGTTTCATCACTTGTACTTACTCAGTCAAGCGGACACCTTAATCTTTATGTGGCACCTAGCTCTGTACAGCTTATTGAACGCATGTGTCCATGTGTATTGAAATAACATACATTTTAATGAAACATTGTAGACAAAGTAGCGTCACAGCTTTCTGGAAATATAAGTAAAGGTTTTAATAGGTGACAACATGTGAATGTCACCCGGCGTAAAACTGCGATGTTAGATGTAAACTCCCATGTAAATACCAGTGTAAATGTTAGACAGTACCGGTGGGGTTTAAATGGTTTTTGAGTGTTGACAGGTTAACATGTCAGCTGTGTCCTAGATTTGATCAATGCTCATTCATGTATATTGATAGTTAGAGACGCTATATGTGTAATATACACTCGGTATATTTCGTCACCGCTACACCTGTACAGTAAGACATAAGTTGTCTGTAAAGTAGACCTTAAACGAATTATATAGTTACAGCCATAAATATTAACTAGTGAAAAACAAATATAACTTTTTTGTGTTTATGTCTCAGGTTCCCTTTCTTCTCCATTCTAGTCTGGGCCGTGTGTACATGAGGACATTTTGAATTGGGATTGTTACCTGGTATCAGATATATTGGTTTACACCTGTATATATCACCTGTGTGTTATCTGAATACACAGGAATGTGAACTAGGTGTCATTTACTGTCACAAATAACTTACATGCACCAACGTAACCCATCACAGATTACATGTGTAACGTAATGCTGATTTGATATGTATCTGACATAGATGTTCAAAAAAGACAGAGGTTTTGTCTTGGTCTTTTTTTTTATTTTTCTAAAGTAAAATGCCATTATGAATTCCTGTTACTGTGAAGCAATAGGAAAGGCAGAATAGGATTCAAACCCAGGACCACTAGTAGCTGAGTTCATTGGTCAGCCCTGTCCTGCTGTACGATGATAATGATATAAATATTGACTGCAAAACAAACACAACTGATTCAAGATATCCTCTGATTATCCTTAGTATTGTAATGGTATGATACACTCTTTATGCAGATGTTAGGTTTAGATTTTTTTTTACTGCATTTACATATGAAAATTATGACACATGAAATTGCGACCAGCAAATGTCCATGTTCCATGCCTGTACAAGGAATATTTGAGGTGACTAAACATGCATGTCAATGAAGTTTACATGCATAAGGATTCAGTCTTCAGTAATGTATTGTTTGCATTGTATATGCTTGTGAATACAATACAATGAAGACACAATGGGATCGACAATATGACTTTGTGTTGGCTGTGTAAGGATAATGACAGGAAAAAACGACAGCCGAATGTATAATAACCACCCTACTGTAATCTAACTGGGTATCTCACTGTCTCTGATTCACCAGCTATAATTTATTGCTGTTTTAACTTTTAAGTGCTCCGTCATGAATCATGCTTTAATGTCACTCCAATCCTACCTACAGATAGAGATGTACGAGTTACCTCCCCTCCATTAGACCTGTCTATGAATATGTACAGCCAATAATAAAATGTAAATGTATTTGTAAGGGCTTGTTTTGAAGATATTAGAATGTCTGAGGTCAGGCCAGTATTGTAATAGAACTATTAAGCACTGTAAGGATATATATACAGCACTTAGTATTTATGATTTCAGAAATTATGGGATAGCTATAGCTATGTTACCATTATCTTAGATCTGTGTAAATGTTTTAGGATGACTTTTAACATGTTTGAAGCAACACTAAAATGCATCTATTTATTTCTATAACAGACTCCTTCAACTGTGGTCATTGAAATTTCTTCCCTTGAATGAAATACAATTTAAAGCTCTGAACTAAAACATATTTCATAAGATGTAAATATTTATTCTGTAGAAACACAAGCTTTCATAATTTAGTAGATGTTTGGAAGCTCAAGTCTTTGTTAGCATTTATCTCAAATAAATATGTATGTTATCAAGACAGTTAAACATCCCTATAATGGTAAAATTCTAATGGAATAAAAAGTCATTGAAAAGTTCTAACTTATCACACATTAATGTGTTTGTAATGAAGTACACAGGCTTGGAATGGATCCAAAAAGCAAATCTACGCTGCCACTTTGATTAGCACACTTTTATTAGAGATGGGTCTTTCTATAGCATCATGCATTGCAATTATTTCTGACTTGCTACAGTAGAACTTAACTTACAGTAACACTGGGGTTTACAAAGTGTGCCTCATGTTATAAATATTAACGCAATGTGGTCCTGGATCATGTCTGATTAGAAGACTTTTGGTGCAGTTTATTCACATTTCATTATTCTAATGTCTATGATAATGTGATCCTTAGATGAAGTTGGTTTTTGAGGTATATTCTTATTACAGAGATTTTACGGTAATTTGCTCCTTCAGTGAATGGAAATTAATATTATATTCCTTATTTTAGAAGGGTACATTAATCTGATCAAGGAGATTTACAGTAATTGATTTTAAATAATGTTTTATTGATTATGAAACAAAGGGATGAGGCATTAAACATATATACTTCATCATTTCATTTTAAAGTTACAAAACGTTATAGAGTTTAGAAGATTTACGGTACTTTGGTCCTAATTTTAGAAGGTTTACAGCTATATGGTTCTTGAGCTAAGCATGCTATACATTATCAGGAAGCAGAAAATGATATTGGCATGTTGATGCTCCGGGTCCTGGCAGTGAATAAGATAGATGGAAATATGGATATTTATATCTCCAAACTCTATCACTTTGTTCTAATTTAAAGAATTGAGGAGTTGGGGGGATATAGGGGGGGGGGGGGATATAATTATAAGAAAATATTGATGACGATAGTATATACATCTCTGATGATTCATGGTAGCTGCTGGTCTGTTAAACTTCTCTCTGATAGTCTGTTCCTATTACCTGATGTATGGCCCAGGGCCTTTGATGGTTGATCAACAAATATGTTAGATATACACATGAATTGTTTTATTTTATCAAACTAAAAAGTGAAATAAGTGTAGATGTTGTTTGTGTAGCTGTGTGATGGATGTTGTGTGGGGATGGGTAGATATAAAGCTGTGGTGAAGCCTGTTGGCATTGGATCAGAACCGTCACAGTACTGCTACCCAGTACTGACAGTTCACCCCTCACCTTCCCGCCAGTCCCGTGCACCTCCACCGCCGTACACCCCTCTATGTAGACCCACCAGGAACTCCACCAGGAACCAGCACTCTGTCCGATTGGTGATGTGATTGTTGTTTTACAAAACAGTCTACCTGCTGTGCCGAGCCCAATGGCAACAGCAGATGTTAAGGTCTCTGAAACTACTACTGTTTAGTCATAAATAGGTAGAAATGTGTATGCAGCATCATACGTATGTGTAGGATACCCATGACTGTGTGTCATTATCCAGCTAGACTTGGAGATTTATACAGTGTGTATAATACTAGTCAGGAAGTAACACTCATAGTCCAAGCATTTGTGGGATATTGTTTTCCTGTGTTGGTGTTTATAAATCTGATGTACTGAGTAAAGAGAGGGGGGAGGATTTCCTGAGGTTTAAAGTCTCAGGGAGGGCAGAGACATCTAAACCTGTGACTCTACCAGCCAGGACAGAAGGCCCCTACTACTTCTCTATAGAAAACAGATGTGGTACCACTTCTCTGTGTAAACTTTAACTCAGACAGGACTGGTTACAGTCACATGTACAAGTCCTTCTGGTGGTGCTAACAACTTCACTTAGGATATTATTTACAACACATCGCTCAAGTGTTATTTTCAAAACTGCATGTACTCGAATGCAGGGATTCAGGATGAATTATTTTGGATGATTGTGCCATTTTGTATCAGGTTTTGAACTTTAGAAGTGGATTTTACGTGCAATTGGTGAACGGCTGCCACTCAAGGTCAGATCCAGTGTTACAACGACACTATGCCGGAGATCGAAAACTTCCACCGAAAGCACAGCATACGTAAGTTTGATACCTGTTCTAGTTGCGTGTTAGTGTTACATAACCGTAAAAAAATGTCTTGTCTAGGTTAGATGCTTTCTATTCAGTTTTTCTATTTAGAGAAGACGACAACTTAGAGAGTTTAGATCATCAGTGAATTTTTGCTAGAGAAGACGACAACTTCCGTGGTTCAGATGATCAGTGTTGTGTTGCTTAGTGTGTTTCTGTATAAATAGGTGTGAGGTTGTTGTGGTAATGTACTATACGATGATTTTGTTTGTCTAAAGGCTGCTGTGGTACAGGATAGAATGATGCACTGAATAAAAGAATCTTTCCCTTCAACGAGGATATGACTGAGAAATCTCAATCTGATCAGTGATATTCTTGATTGTGTATCCAGAGGCTTCCTTCAAGCAGAGGGTTAGACATTAAAGATTCTTACCCCGAGGGTTAAGATTTCTCTGGTATATAAACCCTCACCACAGGAGGTGATTCTTTTTCTCCCATCCTTTCAAAACTAGTTTGACATCAATGCCTATCAGCATTTGTAATCTGTTTTAATGATCTTGATATTTGCATGTGAACTTTCCTGTCAAAAACTGATTATGACATCATTCTGTTTGATCCTGTGACATAGGATAGTACAATACAGGGGTGTCAATCAGATTTCAGGTTGGGTGTATCCGACATGAAGTAGGCAATTAATTTCAGGCTGTTTGTATAGGAAACAATGTAGGTGGTTAATTTTAGTATATTTCAAAATACTGCATTACTATTTGCACATTCTGTACAGGCTGGGGGTATATTAGTAAAACAACATAGATAATGACTCGCATGATTTGAGGCTAATATAGGAATTAGGTGTTTTTTTGTAGGCTTTTATCACTAACTATACCAGGAAAAGTAAAGGGCATGTGAGCTTTTCAGGCAGTCTGGGCCTCTTGTTATATGGTACATTATGGTATATAGACACAGACTATAGGTGTTAAATGTAGGATCTATCTGTAGCCTGTGGAAAGTATGCTGACACACAGAAATAATTACAGTAAAAAAACCCAACACAATCTCAGGTTATCAGCTGAAAATAATAATCACTTGTACATGTACAATGGTCACGATTGTTATCAGGTTCCTGTATTAATAGAACTCAATTCAGAGATCTGAAGCTTGATCATGTTTTATGTTTTATCCATAGACAATTACCTGTTGGTTATTGTATCACTACTGTTTGGCAGCTACAGCACTGCCTTCTACTCCTCTGTCTTATACTTCCCTTAAATACATCAATGTTCACCACATTACAAATTAATGTTAGATCTGTATTTACCAGATAACACTTGTAGGGGAAAAAGACTTGTAATACTGACTTCTGACTACCATCCTATATAGATAGTAAAAGGGTAAATATTGTAGCTACCACTGGCTAGGAGCTGTCTGCACAAAGGAAACCTTTGGTATACATGTTATCCGGGTAAATGCTGAAGCTACCACTGCCTAGGAATTGTCTACTTAGGGGAAAACATGTGTAGTTATTAGGGTTAATATTGTAACTATAACCACTGGCTAGGAACTGTTTACACAGGGAAACCAATGTGTGTGGTGTCATCAGGGTAAATGGTGAAGCTAACACTGGCTAGGAACTGTCTACACTTGAAAACATGTGTGTGTGGTGGCATTAGGGTAAATGTTGAAGCTATCACTAGCTAGGAACTGTCTACACAGGGAAACCCATGTGTGTGGTGTCATCAGGGTAAATGGTGTAGCTAACACTGGCTAGGAACTGTCTACGATCCAAAATACATGTGTGTGGTGTCATCAGGGTAAATGTTGTGGCTAACACTGGCTAGGAACTGTCTACACAGGCTAACCCATTTGTGTGGTGTCATCAGGGTAAATTGTGTAGCTAACACTGACTTAAGGAACTGTCTACACTGAAAAACCATCAGTGATGTCATAAGGGTAAATATTGTAGCTTTATAGTAACCACTGACTAGGAACTGTTAACCCATGGAAATGTATTATCAGGGTGATGGGGTACAATAATGTGATAGACAATTACAAGGAGCTTTAATTTCTAAACAGGATCTCCCTTACAGTTAAATTCTATTACCTTAGACCCATTGGTCAATCAGTACACTATGGGCAGTCTATATGGCTAGGAGCTTTCTCCACAGAGAAACCCGGATGCAGAGGTGATTAGGTATACTACTTAGGCTGTCAATGGCTAGAAACTATCTACATAAGAAAATTCTGATGTGTATAACAAGTCTATGGTAGTTACCACTTGGCAGGAACTGACAACACAGGAAATCCTGGTGTGGGTTGTTTTCAGAGTTACTTAGAACTGTACATTTCAAACAAACTATAAGTTATCAGACTGATGTGAGCAGGCCTTTGGCTTCTTTTGACCATGAGGATGTGTTGAGATGTGGTAATTGTTATCAGTAGAGGTGAAGACCTGGTGTTATTATACAATATCACAGCTGCCCGTCAGTGCCAACTACTTCCTGCTCTCAGCTGTTGAGTGACACTTTACTGCTGGGGATTTGATGGATTCCATTCATTAGAAATAAATTCCCAATTCAGTTTTTCTTTAATCGAAGTCCGTCAGTTTTTGACCCAGGAATCCTTTAGATGGGGAGATAACCGAAAACCCCCCAGATAATTCCTCATTGTAGCATTGAAGGAATTTTCGAAATGTTAACAGTTTTGATTCCTATGTCAAGTAACAAATGTCATTAAATCAAACTGAATCTTTCATGTGTTTTTTTTATCTGGAACTTTGATGGAAATGATAATTCCAAACACATCGTTGTGGCCTATCCTACCATATGCATGTTCACAATGTCAAGGCACTTAATTGGTTCATTATAATCATGCATAGTTTGGCTGGCCTGTACATATAGTTTGTCGAAATAAACCATTCATGTGCAACACTTGTCACTCTCCAAAAGCCTACATGCATTACAAAGTGAGCAATGTATGACAGGTCCCTGACAAGTTAACTTCCAAAATGAGGGTTTATATGTTTATTTAATCGTTATCACATATATTCTAGTTAAAATGGCAAAATGGGACCACTGGCTGCAGCATCCAGAAAATATTAAACTATCTATTCACTGTTTGTTCGGCATCCTGTGACAATTGTTTGCACTTGTAAATCAAATAACAGGCTAACGTATTTAGTTAAATTATATAGGTCACGTTGTCCTAATATGGTAGTATCATGGAATATAACTCAGAATTAGAAAATGTCTCGAAAATAATGGCTGAATCAAACTTCGTTAAATATTTTTTCCCAACATGTTCTCACCCTTTCACATATATTCCACCATGATACAAACGTGTTATTTCTAAATGAAATATTATCACACTTATGTTGATCTGTAAACATATTTTTGTAACGGTCATCCGAATGATCTGTGTAGGTGTTAAAGGGTATAGGTTCGTCAGTTCTAGCTGGACATTATCCACTGTAATATGATTGGCAGATTACAAAGTCCAGTCAGTGTACATTCTGTGGGCTTAGAGAACAAGTAAATACCGCATTATGATCCCCTTACACATGAATGCAACTCAGCCAGCTCATTTCCTGAATGGAACTAAATAGGCCAACAATTTATTGACGGATGTCGCCACTTACTATACTAAGAAATGAAATACATTTTTATTATTCTAAAGTCCTTATGATAAACATTCGCGACAATATTTCCTTATGTGATGTAAACTGATGGATGTTATGCCATTTGTGGTGTATTGAGGTTGGTAACAACAGTATACCTAGGAACAGCACAATGACATCAGTCCAGTTCATCAAAGGCTACAGAAAAAGTAGGTACAGAACTAGCTTCTAACCCTCTGATAGGTATGGAGCGGAGTAGGCACTCTCTCTCTCTCTTGTCTGAGGTACTAGTTACCACCGAGTCCAGTTTTAAATTGTGGAGATTTTCTCAGATTTTAAACAAGGATGATGAAGGAGGAAGTAAAACCGTCTGGTGCGGGACAATGTGAGAATATTAATCCTATGTGTAAATTTAATATTACGTATCAAACTGGAAACAAACTTTGTTTTAATAATGGTTGTCATTAATTAAATAGGCTGATACATATGTACCATTTAATTACCATATAATTATATATAAACACCATACATCTGATGTATCTGTATACAATACAGGTTTATAGCTTTAGGGATTAATTGAGACCATTTTGCAGATAAATTCAGACAATAACGCTTGAAACTTTCTGGTATTTTGATCTCTAAATTTTATTCACACATCATGTCTTATAATTACTAAAAATTAATATTTTTTATCTTCTTTTCAAAATAAATTGTATACTCTTTTGGAAAATCAACTTTTCAGAATGGATAGTGTATCAAACTGTACCATCGTCTCTTCTTAATTAACAGTTAATTGTTTTGACAAATCAGTGTTGCACTTACCTTGATCAATAGTGCTCCAACTATAAGTCAATGACATGGATTATATAGGAAGTGGAACTTGACCGGGTCAGATTAACATTGTTACAATTGTCGATCATTTATTTCACCTTGATTGTTTGATTGATTGATTAAAGATGGTTAAATGTTCCTGTTCCATTTATAACCAAGTCTAGGACAGTCTGTGACCTGAATAATACCCTCTATACAGTTTTTCAATTCATTCAAATTTTATGAATACAGTATGTTCAAAACCAAATGTTGACTTTTCAGTCATTATTATATAAAAGTGATATTGTTTGTAATGTACATTTGGCCAAAATGGTCAGCCCTGATTTCATCATCTTACCAACTGAAACAATAGGTAGGTCTGCTTGACTAAAAGACTGATATATGGAACTTGACCAGTTGGTAAGCCATCCATCTGCTCCGAGCTTATATTGGTCACTACTGGTAGGCTTGGAAGTTTCTATTTAGTCAACTATGGGAGGTAACTCTTGTTACCTTACAGTAATTGCTGGCTGTACTGGGTGCATTTAGACTTCAACAGAATTATTTTAAAATGTACATTTCTTCATTT